GGAAAGGATGAATCTCGGCTACGAGGAGAAAATGTTCCAGAGAGTGTGGTATTGAGCCTTACGTAACCCTTATTTGGAAAGGATTACAGTGTCAAATGTTACAACTTGATCATATCTGCAGCATTGGGAGAAATACTCTCCAAGAAAAAATATAAGTATGGCGGAAACTATTCGAGCTGATCGAGAGGAAGTGCCAACGATTTTGAAGCAAAGCTGTTCAGTTCACTCATCATGTAGAATAAAAACAAGCACACATTAACATCCTACCAGTGTAAAAGGAATAAAAATGTTTTGGTTTTTAGTTCCTTGCACAGTAACTATTCCATTCAAGACTCTGGAAAAAAGTCCGAGACTGTATTGTTTTACAACTCCATGAAGTATGGGGTAGATATAATTGACAAGAGCATTCATTGTCAAGTCATCATCTCGACGATGACCAGTCCAAGTCATCATTATTATTATTATCATTATACACGTTAGCTGCAGGTGGGAAACACCTCAGCTATTGTGCCGGAATACCAAAGACAATAAAAAACATACAACAGTGGCACGCTGGCTGAGTCCCCAGTAACGGATGGACATCGTTCCGGAGAGCCAACAGCCGGCTATCGTGCCGCAAGTATTCTTCAACGTGATAGATTTGGCTGGCATTACTTACTGGATACGTTATAGTAGTGTCACTGGAAATAGATAGTTCCACCGATCGTATCTGATGGGTCTTGCGGAAGAAGGGCGCGGATCCATACACCATACAAGGTACGTGACAAATCGACTTACGCTGAACAACTCAGCGCGGTTGGAAAATCGTGAGATAAGTAAACGTTGGTAGTGTCAGATTGGTTACTGTACAGGCAACAAATCGAACAGCAAGTGCTCTGTATATGGACAGATTGAGAGTTATCACCTGTTTCAAATGTAAATCCGAATAAGCAAGTACAATTATTATGTTTTGAAAAAATAAGTATAATACAATTATTTTTCAGTTACAAACATGTCCTACGATTGTTTTTGATAAGTATATTGAAAAAATTTATAAATAAAAGTTAGGATAAAGAAATACAGTGATGTGGTCATTTTTACCGGTCTCGGGCGTTCAACGTATAATGGCGGAGCGGTCTTTCTAGTGGTAAACCTCATACACCTTGATTTCATAGGCGTCTTCTAGTTTCAACTCAAATACAATCACAAAGCAGCAATCCTTGCATGTCTAGCCATGCGGATAACATCAGTTTATCTGCTTCTGTTAGGAGCCACTGATATTGACAATGACATGTTTGAACGTGCGCACTCTGTTACAAATCGGTCGGTGGGTAGCACTTGTCCGAATAATCGAGACCCTGTCGATCGATGTCTGTTGCTTATCGGAAACCAGCCCGAAAGACTCGAGCTCCGTACTCACTCTATGGCCATCTTCATGTGACACTGACAGTAGTTTCTCATTGCGTCTATCCGGATGTGATGAAGCTTCCAAGACCAGTCAAGCCAGTGGACATTGTGCAGACCTCCCGGTCTAAAGCTACTCCAGTAGACTGGATCCCAGTCAGTAGCCGGATGTGTGTCGTTCGACTGATTGGCTCGTACAGACGCGAGAGGTCCACTGGTGCTCGTTCGTCATTGCTGCATACGTCCACACAAACTGTAGCCCTGACTCGTTGAAAGATAACTTATATCACCAAATGAACGAGCTCGTCCGTCACCCAAGCAATGCGGATACTGCAGTGCAGGCTGGAGATCTGAACGCTTGAGTTGGAAAATGGATCGCTGATGGGATACAACGTGGTGACCAATACGTCACAAGCTCCCGTAACGATAAGGGTGAGTGCTTGCTAAATTTATGTGGAGATGCCTGTCTATTTCTCACGAGCACTAAATTCCGACACATCACTGGCGAAAAGTAATATGATGCCCAACAGTTATGGACGCGAATCGATTACATCGTAAGCAGTTACCGCTGGAGAGCCTGCATCTAAAACTGCGGTTAGGGTTGGAGCACCAGTGTGCACTCCGAAAATGCACTTGTATGTATCGACTCGGTGGCGCATTACGGTGAACGCCGGCGACGACGCTGTTAGCGCGTACATCCCAGCCAACTGGCGAAGCCAGATGTTGTGAATGCGTACCAAACTGTGCTTGTATGTGGGTTGAGTAACTAGTCCTTGAACACAGTTGAACATTACTGGTCACATGTCCGCTACACATTAGTAGTGGGTATGTCTTCGTGTAGGAAATCAAATTGTCAAACGGAAACTGGGTGTCCATGCGGTCTCCGGAACATCTCGTTGCCTGCTGACACATTCCGGCTAGGAGCGAACATAACGAGACGCGCAAAAAGCTAAGGGTAAAATTGCATGCTAGCCTAAGAGAGACCGTGAAACTTGGTGGTCACCTTGTGCGACAGAAGAGGAAACGACTACCGATCTTCGTAACTATCCGGTTATTTCATCTGACACGAGAAACGGGCAGCAGGAAAAGTAATGTAAGCGAAACTATACGACGTAACAAGAGCGTACAGCCGATGCACAGCCGGTCAAAACGATTGGAGCGTTGAGCCAAACACTGAAAAGTAGTCTAATAGGCCGGAACTACTAGATAAACTGTCAGCCACTAACTGCTCTGCTCCGCGGGTCGCTCCTGTGGATCTACCTTAACGCGCAAAGGTCGAATGGGAGATCGGACCCCGCAAGTTAAAATAGGTAGCGGGACCAGAGGGACTTCCCTCATCCCTCATCGAATTCGAGGGACCTCTTCTTGTAGACGAGTTGTTAGTGAAATCGTTGGAGCAGAAAACGGTTCTAACCGACTGGAGCAGCTTCGCTATTGTTCAGAGATTCAAGGGGGTTCCCGTTCGGAATGCGGCAATCACAAAGGGATCAGTCTGATCTCCATCGCCTATAAGTTGACTGCTCTACAGATTGACTGGCGTCCGAAAAAGCCAGATACGCAAGGAGCAAGCTTCAATAACACCATATTTAGTTCGAATCAATTGGTGGACCAGCGCGATGTATATCGACGACCAATCGAAGTCGTGTCCCTTGACATCAAAAGGGCATTTGATGTGCTCTCGGGTCTATAACGTAACGAACGTGTCAGCTGTACGCCGTAACGGCGCTTCGCTGCCGCGCGGCCACCACCATTAGCGCGAGAACGCCCACCCATACGCGGATTCGAACCGGTGACCTTATGGTTGCAAAGCAAACGTGCAGACCACTCGGCCACCGGCCGATCTATGCTCAGGAGACTTGTGTCCGAGAAAAACGTAAACATTGTCAACAGCATTTTATGCACGCAGTTCAACCAGAGCGAGGGCTAATGACAAAATTTGCCGCCGTTCAATATATATGTCCAGAGGTATAAGACAACGTTGCCCACTGGCATCTTTTTCCTTCGACTTCGTGACTGATTTAGTTGTGGAAACTACTTCCACAGAACACGATCTCGAAGATATGAAGCCGCTTCCAAATACTTGATGTCTTGACGTGGTATGTCGACAATACTGCCATAATCTGTACCAACACACGAAGGTACCAGGCAGCTCAGGCTATCACCATTTCGGACTCTACTTTGCACCGTCCAACTGCAAAATCTTCCTACAAGATTGACAAGCAGTAACCCCTGCGTCGACTCATGGTGAGGATCAGATAGAACTATTCCGGAAATTCAACTACATAAGCAGCTTGATTACCATTATTGGGTTTGCTTTCTACCAGCTACTGCTACTTCACTGCTATCAATCTCGCACTGAAGATGCCACCTCGAATGGTGGCGAAACGTCTGCAACCAAGTTGCCCAGCTCGGAGAACTCCACAACAACTGAGCAAGCCTCCCGAGCTACCAACATTCCAATTCATTTCGAACAGTGCCTGCGACGGATTCTGTGCATTGGTTGGTGCAAGAGTTGTGTTCCGCCGAAGTGGAATGAATGAGGTGGACTGCATACTATTGCTGAGATACCTAAGGTGGCTCGGTCAGGTGTGGCGCATGGATTCGACGCAGATACCGAAGCAGCTATTATATGGTCAGCTCAGTGTTGGGAAGCAACATGTGGGAAAACCGAAGGTACGTTACCAGGACATGGTCAAAGTGAGCCTCTCACGTTCTAATCTCGAGTGCAGGTCATGGGGATCGAAAGCGGTTGATGGACGTGTATGGCGCGATCTGATCACGAAGGCCGTTGCCGAGGTGCAAGAGAAGCCCTCGTGCATGCAGAGAAGAATTGATAGGTGCCGATGGGTTGTACTCCATCGACAGCGAACGCATGTACGTTAGCACATGTGGTCGCGAGTGCCTGAGTCAGGCAGGCCTAGTGAGCTATGAGCGAGGTCACTCGGGGAAGCAACGACGGGTACTGCAGAGAACGTACACAGAACCGGCGTAGTGTTTGTAGGTACGCCGCATTCGATTTACTAACCGTGTGTTTGCATGCTGAGTCTCTTTATTTCAGATGGTGGGTCTGCTATATTCTCCTGTTTTTAAAAAAAGCTCATATTGAAGTCTACCTGAAGCACCTTCTATAAACTTGCACACGTCACTTAAGCTAAGTGTAATTAACTTCGTATTACGCATGCTAGCACACCGACTCCCGCGAAGTGAGTTGTTTGCGCGATCGCGGTCTGAAGGTTAGAAGAGGGGGGGGGGGCAACCGATGAGTTGGTCAAGAGCAGTGAAGTCACTTACCACTAAGTTAGCATCGGCTGGAGTCTCCCGGCTCCCTAGTTGGGGCCCCAAAGACGATGAACAAGTTAGTTTGGCGGAGAATCGACGTCGGTGGTGTTTGTGCTGTGAGCCTGCTTGTCCGTACGAAATTTGCTTAGCTTCACTCTCAACCGCGATCTCAGTCTGGACGCAAAATAGAAGTTTGCATCCAGTTTTGCTGCATATTTTCTCACACACTTTTCTACTGCCATCTAACCGATTTGTTTTGAGGGGGGAAAATAGCTGAAGTGCCTCCCACTTCCACCTAACGTGTATGATGAAGATTATGATGCTCGAGTTGATAAACGTAGAAGTGGACAAATAGTTTAATGCAATTTCTCAAACGGACAATTATCCCATTGTCGCATGTGACCGACGGAAGAAATATGGCCCAGCTGTATCTGCCTGGTTTTCCCTGGGCCAGCTTGAGAACAGTGTCTCTATGGAGAGGAAAGAGTTGAATAACAGCAGAAATAATGATTGAATGAGGAGTCAAATTTCGAAAAAAGCATGAAAAATGTGAAAATTCCAAAGGCGGGATCGAGTGGCGTCGAATCGCCGTAAACGATTTCAACTCCCACACATTCGGGTTAAGCGTCAAACCTATAACAAAAATAAATAAGGGCATGAGCAGACGATGCGCAAGAGAGGAATGGAAAGAGGGATAAAATAACGTGTGCGGTTCACTAGAGTCCAACTGGTTAGCAGATAAGTAAAGGACAGTAAAATGTACAAGGTTTGGTAAGAACGTACAGCACAGAAGAAAAGTTCGTATTGGTTGAGCCCAAACAACCAAAAGTGTTAAGGCAAACCAGAAGGAAGCGCAAAGAAGAAAAGGTCACCCGCTTGAAAATTGCTAGTCGTGGCAAATTGGAACCCTCTCTAGTGAACGCCGTAAGTCATAATGACAAACATCGTTTGTTTGGTTGCCAACACGTTCACCAAAATAATCGAACAAGCACAACTGAGGTAGCTGAGCTACGAGCTTTTCTAAAGTGAAGTCTTGTATTAAATTGCATTGCGTCAAATTTAAGATAGTGAGAAACGGTTGCTTGGTTGGGATATCAGACAAAGGAGCACCTTCGATGCGATGATCGCCCACCAGACTCAAATGACGCAAGGAAGAACAGTGAAGCACAATGTCTGAGAAGCCAATATCGGACACTTCCCAGCACCAGTCTAGCGTCAGTGAACGCAACTGCGGTCCACAACACTTACAAATGCTAGCGACCACATCGTCATTCAAGAAAGACGCCTCGCTCAAATCCAGATGTTCCAACCGGTGCAATGGAGGTGGAGACATTGGTGGGCGAAGACACAAAGGGGGAAGAAACAAATGAATCCAACATTCAGCAGTTATCTGTTGGGCCTTTCGAAGAGTCAGCGAAACAAGGGTGGAAAGCTTGGTTAGTTGTATGACGGCAACATCGGACAGATGATCACAAAAGCTCAACCACAGAAGTTCGATACCACGAAATGGGACAGTTGGAGCAAGGGCGCATCCCGAAGAGGGAGAAAATCTCACGATCTGTTGTTCCAATTGGCCAATCCGATCAAAAAAGTCTCCCACTCCAGAACTGGTCATCTCAAAGCCATCCAGCCAGATATCGGTTAAGTGTCCAGCACGAAGGGCAACAGCATGACTCAAACTGACCAGCGTAGAGTCTGATAGCCACAGAGCACCGTTTAAATTAAGCCGTCTGAGCAGCGTCAATTTCTCCGAAATAACTTGAATACATGCATCACAGGTATTGATACAGTGGGACAAATTGAGTGCCTCCAAGCGAGGACAACACGACGTCAGGTGGACGATGAAGGGTAACTGATGAAGGGGAGGTAGAGCAAAGGTGAAAAATAACGACGAAGTAGACAAAGCAGGGACATCAAAGCATAGTAAATCGGTAAACCCTAAGATTAATAAAGAGTCCAACTGACTGCTCATAAAAAATAGTGCATGGTTACAAGCATCCTAGAAACGTTGATTTATGGTTATAAAACCAGCAAACTCTCTAACACTATACAGTAACGTTCATTAAGTTTGAAATAACTCACGCTACCCAGACTGTTTTTCGTGCAGTTAAATGACTATGGGAGTAGAGCCGGCCGATGCTGCCTCCGGTTGGATGAGTCTGCAGGATGGCCAGTCAAAGATATGGCGAAAGAGAAAGCAAAAACTGATCGAAGGACTGGTGTATCGTGCCGATGTATGGAGACGTCGGGAGTAGCAGTATCTGCGACAAGAAATCCTACCCAACGTAACATGCAATAGTTGATTGCGGTACAATACCTGGGGTGTTTATCCCTTACAGATAGTGTGAAGAATGATGAGAGTAGATGGTGGCATACTTGTAACACACGGGATTTGTTTCTACTGATCGTTGTACCAGGACATTCAGAGTTAAATCGGCCCCTTTGGTCTGTGTTTGTTGACTAATTCTTCCCGATTTATCCATATTCTTTGCCAAGTTTCTATCGTCTCGAATATGTAGGTAAAGCAAGAAAGTTAGGCACCAGTATTACATCAGTTCTACGTACCGACACACTTCACTGAAAGCGTACTGCAGGTATGCTCAAATTCATGCAGGGACGTTGTCAAGAAAAACCTGGGAAGTGTAGGTTGTTAGCCAAACAAGCGAACTGTCACATCATCGGTTCCAACATGAGTGAAACCATTTAGATACAACAAACTTGGCACTAGTAAAAACAACAGACTCAGTGAAATGCACCTGAGATCGAAATAATGTGGTGGTATCAAACCCCTCTAAGAAGTGCTTATAACTGATGAAAAATACTTCAAATGAGAGCCAACTGGTACATGTGTGATAGTGCACTGACCCGCTAGGGAAAGAATGCGAAAATGCAGTCTGCGGTGAGCAAGCGCACAGTGAATAGGCAGCACTCATTCAACATTATAATGGACAGTAATAGGGTATGTGCATTAGTGGTTGCGTCATAACGCAATAGCGGCTGCATAAAGAATGAATGAATGTTCGAACCAAAAGGCCGCTCCTTAGTGTTGGGTTCGAATTCAACAGGTCAACCTTAGCTGTGGCTGACATAGGCAGCGGATGGTTTCGAAAATGCAAACCGACAAATGCATGCCCAATACCTACCAGTTACGCAAGGCCAGGATATCTGCCACTTTGTGTGATCGGCGGACAAGAACCGACATTCCACAAAGTCAACGTAACTTGTCAAAGATAAATGGTATTCATAGATTTGACAACAATAATGAGTTTCGATATATAGGACTGGGCGATCAAGAAACATGACTATCACACTAAAGTCTAACTTCATCATGTACAGTAGTGGTGGAGCAGTACAATCCGCTGCACATGGTGTGGAAAACAGGCGAAAATATATGATTATTGAAGCTAACTCTCTTACGCACCAATTGACCTGCTTGTCCTACCTCAAATCCCCATAATTGTCGCTCTTGCCAATACGATTTTAACGATGCAGAGCGAAAAAGCTGACAAGGGGTTGGAGCTGACGAGACATTTCTGTCGCAGTTCTCACAAATCCGTACTAACAGAAACACAGCTCCACTGACGCCTCAACAACGGGCGCATAGCAAAAGAGCAAGAGAGTCGTGGGAACAGCAGTTGAGTTCATTTCGATCTTCAACCAAGATCAGAACTCAGAAGTGCACCAGATCTAGGCACCATGAAACACACCGGCATAGGAATAAATGGTAATAAAGGAAGGATGAAAGAGAGAAAAATGATCTAAGTATAAACTTAGGAAGAAAGAAAGAAAGTCATGAGCAGCACGTCGGTACGCAATACCGACACTTCGCTGCCGCGCGACCACCACCAGTCGCATGTGGGCTGAGGATACTGCGAGGGTCACCCGGTCCCTACACAGGCTCGAACGCGCGCCCTCGGATTACAAGGCAGGCTTGTGATCATTAAGGCTACGGGCCGGCACAAACTTAGGGCAGATAGGTGAGACGCTGTAACCATTAAATGAAAAGGTAAACGAGCAAAAGACATAAATCCAACATGAGTGCCATCGGTTTCGCGATTATACGCGATCGGGATAAGTTTTGCAAGAGGTGATCCCTTCCGACAACATATTCAGACCAGCATCTTCATACACATTCGTCATGTCCCTGATGATTACAGAGGTAGCAATGGTAGGAAATACGGGGTATAAAAGACTATCGATGAGCACCCATAAAAAACGGACCGGTGATGGAAAGGCGATAAATGCTCAAAAGACGATCAAATATTTAATATTATTAATAGGCACTGGCAACGTCTTCGGCTCGTAGAGTTGTGATGAACACTAGTTACGTAGAAGTTTTCACAAGTACTCCATGTAGGGCCCAGGTTTTGAAAAGTCACGCTGGCCCCAAGGATCCGCATAGGGATGTATTCGGTGATGGGACCACTAAGGGTGATGCAACTGCCCACAAAAACGAATCAATTCATCAAGTATAGTGAGTGTTTATCGAGGGTCACCCCAATTACGTAATAATGCCAGGAATATTAAAGCGATAAAGGATGTGCCGAAGCGCACAAAGCCTAACGTCAATCTCTCCATAAGTTCTTGTATGGCCCCCGGGTTCAAACTCAAGTGGTATACTATCCAAGTAGTAAAGTTTAGCCAGTGGACCACAAGGGTAGCCTGTAGTTCATGAGAAGCGGAAACATGCGAAAGCGGTATTCGTGACTTTGGACTACGGAAAAGAAAATAAGAACAAGATTAATCCAGACATGCCCAAATGCCTTCAGACCGGAGGTTTTCGACCGCCATCCTGATACGACAAACAGAGAGTCAAATAACAGCAAGCAATAACCTCGTACGACGCCTCGCAGCGGTTGTATGTGGGCTGGGATACTGCAGTGCCGCCAGCAAGAGCATCCAAAGCCATGCGGCATCAAGGATTACAGCCAGGGACGTAGGAATTGCAAGTGAAATATATGACCCATTACAGTGCGGGAAATGCGGTAACCATACATGTGCACCATAAGAGGCGCTAGTACAGCGCAAGGCATGCAGATGGTCTACAACGCTAGTCAACCACACCGACTTGAAGATAGTGTTTGCTTCAGCTGACATCGCTTCATGTGGTGTTGTCAATCGTTGAAAAGTGGAACGGTGAGAGTTCCTGCTATTCGGAAATCCATGTATGCAGCTCCTAGATGCGTGTTCTGTTCAATTGAACAACCCTGTTCCGGGCACCGAAATGCGGTGGATATAGTTGTCATAACTTAATAAATGACAATAACGGTACAGGTATAACGTAAACAGAAAACAAAAACGGGTAAGAAACGCGGGATGGGACATTAATATCTAGATGCAAGAAACCGAATATGCAGGATCGTCATTGACAAAGCGGCTGCACTATGTCTGATCCAGTCACTAACCACTGGTATGCACCATCCCAAGGATCCCATATATGAAGACGACACGCATCAGCCTGCTCATGTCTCTCGGTCGATTTCTTCATACCTTTATGCCACCTCACCCACTGACCACAATGCTGTTTCCGCCAACTTGGTGCATTGACGGCGCATAATGGAAGCTGAGAAAGCCGGTTGCCGGGAATACGGAAAACATGACCTATACAACGTAAGCGGTTGAGCTTTAACAAACACTCGAGTGAGGTACTAGAGGGCTTCTTGCCAAAAACCAACTAGTGGACCTCAGTAATACTCAGTCGGTGTTCCCACAAGATGTGAGCAATACTCAGCAAGCAAGGATGAGCAAACACGATCAAGAGTTGTATGTTTTCACCACGAACTGGTTATGTCACTGTTCCACACAGTAACGCAAGCCTCATCGCAGCGTTATACACCCTACTGTTCATTGACAGACTGATATCCCGTCCTCTCCATAGGTGGTTTAACCTCTGAAAAGCCACACGGTTTTTTTGATGCGTAAAGTAACTTTTTCCACCAACGCGCAGTGAGTGAACAGATCGACCACATCTAGTGGCTGTTCGCTGATAGTATGAACAGGCGACTGTTAGGGCCCAGTTATATATCAGTATTTTATGATTTGGAGCTTCAAAGTACATACCGAAGCGTGCAGCGCTAAGCGTCGCCTGCATAAACATTTGGTCCGACCAAAGAGAAACAGGTGAGATTTCAACAGCACGCCGGCGCATATTACTAACGCCTCGCCACCACCAACAGTCATACGTCGGATAGGGATACGGTGAGATCTCCTACACGCACGAACGCAGGTTCGAACCAGCGACCTTTGGGTTACAAAGTAGACTATTCATCCCTCCGGCCACTGATCGAGAAGATACATGATCCATATACTCTAGAATTTTCAGTCGGTCACCTAACAGAAATTCCTATCCAAAAGAGGCTGAAAGAACAGTTAGTGAAGCTCATTTTGACTACAAAAGTGCAGACGAAAGGAGATATGGAACAAGCTTGGAAAACCTCATCGTGGGAGACTCAAGCAACAGCCTACCGTAGACCCTTGAGCGGCATCGTGAATCGCCGTAAAGATTTCAAGATGGGAAAGAGTTCTTTGGAACATCATCAGTATCATAAGTACAAGCTAGCTGAAGGTGAGAAACACACTTCAGCCGATGTGTCGTGGTAGAAAAGGACAAGATATATGAAAAAACAAAATACTGGACATTGCAGAATCCAAGATAAAAAAGCAATATGATGTTCAGTATCACATTACACATCACGTGGTGGAAGATAGGCGAAACGGGGTAGCGCAAAGAAACTCGCAACATGAACCCCATTAAGGTCGGCTTCTTGCCATGTCAACAAGTGTATTCAACCAAACGTGATCATTGTAATTCGGATTGCAGCCAGGCAGTCGCGAGGCACCAACTGATGCTAA